TCAGATAATCAACTAGTTTATAATTAACATACATAGAAACTGTTCAAAATGACTATAGACAAATGACTGACAGTGACTCAACCTTCTGCTATTCTCACCAGTATCACAAAACAGACTAAGGGCAGTATGTTTCTAAGGAAGACATCAAAAGATAGAGCACATGCCCAACTGGTGTAGCTCAGTGGGTGAGCGTCGACCCATGAACCAGGAGGTCACCAGTTCAATTCCCAATCAGGGCACATGCTTGGGTTGCAGTCTCAATCCCAAGTAGGGGCATGCGGGAGGCAGCCAATCAATGTTTCTGTCTTTCTATCCCTCCCCTTCCTCTCTCTCTCTAAAATCAATAAAAACATGTTTTTAAAAAACATTTAAAAAGACAGAGCACATGATGATAATCTGGCTAATCTTCTGTTGAGCATATATCATGTACAAGAAATGTTTACATATAATTTTTGTCCTCATAATAATCATACACTTAGATATGATCTCCACTTAAGAACCAAAGAAAGTGTCTCAGTCATTTAAAATAATGTGCTCAAGGGTGGTAAGTCACACAGATGGGAAATGAATTTAATCAAGAATGGCCAGTACCATAGTGAGTGAGTTTACCTTCCGTTCTGCCTGTACAAACCGAGGATTGTCTTAAAGAGGCAAGGCAAAATATGGCTTCTGGAGGATAAGGGCAAAGAGAAAAATGCATAGCAATTAATTATCTATAAGATAATCTTTAAAACATAAAGTTATATTACCTCATTTCCTTTACAATATTTCACCACCAATCACTACATGTGTGTATATGTATATATGAAAGTATGTGTGTGTATATATACACATATGCCTATAGTACAGGGGTGGGCAAACTTTTTGACTCGAGGGCCACAATGGGTTCTTAAACTGGACTGGAGGGCCGGAACAAAAGCATGGATGGAGTGTTTGTGTGAACTAATATAAATTCAAAGTAAACATCATTACATAAAAGGGTACAGTCTTTTTTTTTTAGTTTTATTCATTTTCAAACCGCTGGCCGTAGTTTGCCCACGGCTGCTATAGTACTACAATTGTGTGCGCACGTGTACACACACACACACACACACACACACACACACACACACAGGCACTCCAGGGTTAAAATAACTTTTCAGACCCAAATCAGGCACCTACACTCCAAAAGTTACTATGAAGATATTTTATCTATTGTTAACTCAGTACTAAAAAAAAAATTGTTAATTGGCATTAAGAGATGTAAAAGAAAAAATATCACAGGTGAAGAGTAGCGGCCAAGATACATCAATTAGTTTAAAATGTTAGAGACAGACCTATTGTATATAGAATCCAAAATATCGGGAGCTAGTTGTGTTTCAGAATTTAAACTTTTTTGTACATTAGAAATCTATTATGAATGTATCTATATGACTTATTACCTCTAAGTAGGATGTGAAGCGGCAAACACATTAATATGTCTGCACTTAGGAACAAGGCTATTCACACCAAGAAGGATAAATAAAGACTATAATAAATGGTTTCATGTCAAGCCAAAGCTTTCTGATATCTCAGCATATTGGATTTTGGCACTGCAGATAAGGGACTATGGACCTGCAACTGTGAGTGGCCAAGTTACGTAAGCCAATTGCAATTCACAGAAAACATTTCCTTTGAAAGCTGATATTAAACTTCACAGATTATCCCACAATAACAATATTCCATTGGCAAGTATAATAACCTTCACCCCTCCAGCACTTGGCTGCCAATGGTATATGTTCAGGATTGAGCTGGAATCTAATGAACAAAATATACTGACCAACAAAATAGGTCCAGAGGCATGGAAGCATGGAACAAACTGACATATCTCAGAGGGGTGGGCAAGGTATGGGAAGAAATTAGCCAAAGAACTTAAATACGTATGTGTATACACAGCCCATGGACATAGGCAATAGTGTGGTGAAGGCTTGGGGGGTGGTAGGAGTTGGGTGGAGGCGGGCAAAGGAGGGGAAAACAGGGGACATCTGTGATACTGTCAACAATAAAATATATTTTTATATTTATAAAACAAACAACAAAAGAATACAGCTGGGAGGCAGGAGGTGAGTCATGGTGCAAGGCCTCCCAGCAGCCATTACAATGGTCACATGCTAGGGAGTGTTACATTATTCATAGCAGAAGCCCCATATCTTTCATCATATCTGGCTTCTAAACTCAACACAGGTAAGAACCAGTAAGTGGAATCACAGACAGATCCAAGAGGTGAGTACACGGAGCAGTCACCAGCAATAGCTGGCATTCTGACAGCAAAGAAGAAAGGTAAAGAAGGTAAGAGCCTTGCTACCTAGACAAAAAGTCTTGGATTCCAATCTCAGCTCTGCCATATGAGCTGGGTGACCTTGGGCATTCCTTAACTTCTCTCTGCTCCAGTTCCATCAGCGACATAGTGTTGAGGAAAACGCTGCCTGTCTCCTGTGGCTGTTGTGAGGATTAAATGAAATAATGCCTGTGAAGAGTTTAGCACAGTGCCTGACAATGAGACGATACTCAATACAATTTACACAGTAAAAATAAAGCACAAAACTCACAAAGCATAGCAGCCTGAATAAAATTACTACCAATTCTTCAGAACTCTAAAGTGATCATAATTTCGTATAGAGAAATTTCATCTTAGCTATGCTACGAAACCTTAAACATGCCATTGAAACTTCTCAGAGCCTTGTAGCACCCGATTAGACCATGCATTCTTAAGGGAGGCGGTAAGGTGGAGGACAGCAGTGTGGGGAAGAAATGACTCTTTTTATGTATAAAGCATAACTATAAAGTACAAAAACAGACACACAGTATAACCATGGTATTAAAATTTCATGAGGGAAGATACCTTAAAAGGCTTCTTAGGGGGTTAATAATAATTTTTAAAAGGTTGAGAAATACTGGTTTAAATGAACCGTAAGTTTACATGCAGCTCTTAACCGTCCTTAATCCTATCTTTACAACAACAATGCCAAGAATTCAAAAAATGTTTACTATAGTTTACACACTTTGTATAAGAAGGTTAGGACAGATTTGCATATTTTAGAAAGCTCTCCGATTAAAACAGTTAAAAATTTTAAATGTCACTGTATTTAAAAGAGAAAATCCTCTCAAATCAAAGAAACCCCAGCTGTCACTCATGAAGGGACCCTGTGAGCCACAGTTGTGTTGGATTTTCCCTACTTTATAGATGACAGTTTACCCAAATCATGTCTAGATATGAATATACTTAGTTTTTTTCCCCTCAAAATGGGGAAAGAAACTAGAATAAGGACAACTATTTGTAACCACCATGAAGCTGGAACACTGTGGCTGTCTTCGCTATGATAAATGAAAGATCACCTTGGAATATAATTCATTTTTAATTGTCTCTTCCATCTAATCTAACTACTGCTGGAGTCTGTCATAAAATATTTACAAAGTAAAAGCAAAAATAAAGAATTGGGGGTGCTAAATAAAGCAGGCCACACATTTCTACGTGATCAAGTTTTGGGGCATTTTTTACAACAAAAACAAAGTCACAACTTATATGTGAATTTTGGGAAACAGATAAAGTATGATTAAGGACTCTCTTAGTGTTACAGCTATCTTTTTAAAACAAACATGATTGACATACAACCTTGTATTAGTTTTAGGTATACAACATAATGATTTGATTTACGTATATATTATAGTGTGATTAGCATCGATCACCACAGTTACAATTTTTCTTGTGATGAGAACTTTTAAGATCTACCCTTTGACAGCAACTTTCAAATATACAATACAGTATTGTTAACTATAGTCACCATGATGCACATTACATTTGTTTTATAACTGTAAGTTTGTATCTTAAATCTGTTTTTAATTCACCTTCTTCCCAGCCTTGGATTCGAATCCTTTCTACACCCAAATACCTTGTTACAACAAAAGAAAACAGTTGTATAAAATGCTAGAAAGATCAATATTATAGCTATTTTCTGCTTTAACCACTTATGAAGTTTTGTATTTGCAACCCCAGTCTTATTTCCTCCAGAATCCTAGCTTTTTCATGCTCATATACCACCCTCATAATTCTGAGTTTTCCAAAACTCCATTTTAGAAATTATAACTAAAAATGGCATTCTAAAATTGTATAAAACATCTTCATGTCAAACTGTTATTAAATACTTGACCATACTTTATTACCAGTAATACATATCAAAAAGTGTTCTAATATTATCAATTTTATTCACAGAAAAACAAATGTGTTATGATATCTTTGATAGCTTTCAGGCAGCTGCATTTGCATATGTAAAGATGTGTGTGAAACCAAATTCCCTTAGGCAAGGTGCTCCCTGCAGAATGCTGAAGGTAAACACATCTTGACTGATGGTGAATATAAATATGCCATCTTAAACAGATGCTAACCACTGTTTACAGGTCCTCAAATCCTAGGTCTTCAAGTGACAGAAAAATCTCTCTTATTAGCCCACATGCTATTATAGACTGTTCCAAACATACTGACTAGACAGAGTAATAAAAAGAAAATATATGTATTAGTTAAGCCCTGAATACACACAGAATAGTTCAGGAGTCTAGAGTTGGATCCATGTGTTCTCAGCCTCAACTGAGGCATTCCGGCCAAACAGCCCACTATTTTAATGACCATTAGGATTACTATCACCCTAATGCGCTGTGCATACCTGAGTGTTCCTTAGCATCACGGTGCTACAAGATTTACTCTAGGTAACACCAAGGAGCCCCCCCTCAAAAAAAATCAGAACACATAAATAATCACTGGCAAGGTTTAGACTTATTTAAGGAAAATCTCCATGTAGTAAGTCAAGTAGATATTGTATAAATATACATTCTGTATGATAACACTCAGAATAGCATAAAAAAATTTTTAATCACAATAAAATGTACTTCTAGTAGTCACACATTTTGGCATTTTTCCATGAGAAAGCCAAAGCCATCAAATTCTCAACCTGACAAGACACCGTTACCTGCCAGGGCTCAGCGTTTACCTTTGTTTGAGATTGATCCACGATGCTTTCAGATACTCGGTGGTTTCCTTCACATTCCTCGTGTCATCGCTACCATATTTCCCCAGCAGCTTCTGCAGGATGTTATCGAACGCCATCACGATCCCGTCGCCAGGACCCAGTTCTTGAAGCAGTATCTAAGGTGCAATTTCAGGCGCCATTGTTAGACTTGGTCACTCAGTAACCAGTATTGCCAAAACATTGGTCCTCCCAGTAGGTTTTAACATGTTTTAGACACAGATATCAAAAGGAGAAAACAAATTATTGGACAAACTCTTGCATGTAAGTTTAAACCAAAATAATTACAGATGTGAAAAGAAAAATGACTAAGAAAGTGATCAGGTACATAGCAGATGACATTAAACAAATGATTATCTCTTCCTCTTTTAGATATTTTATTTCCTAAAAACAATGTCTTTTTTCATTCCTTCTGCTATACATGTGATCCTTACAGGAACATGCACTGATTAGGAATGAATTGACTATAGAGTTCCCTTATATGTACTTAGAGCAATGGAAAGGGCCAACAATACGGAAGTCTTCTATCTCCTGCCCCTCGATCACTGTGTATGTTTACAGGTAACTGCTTGAATGGATCAAGCAGCCATGCAAGGTTCACTGGGAGTTGCTTGAATAGCTACACCGAGGCTATGTCCATTGGCATATCAATTCCTTAACATACTTTTTCAGTCTCTGAGAGTCCCTGGATCAAGATACTCCTCATGAAATCTAAAGGACAAATGAAAGTTCCTATAGTTTTTTGTAGCTATTGACAGAAAAGTCAACCCTAAAGTTTCAGAAGGAAATGACCATACTGCTAATTATAAAAGGATATTCTACATATGATGATTGAAGCATTGATACCACTTTGAATTGTATTCCTTTAGTGAAGTTTCAGGGGCTATGCTGATATTACTTTTGATTCATTTGGTGAAAACAATTAGCAGATATCATAAACACAAGGAATGATCCAGGAAATCAGGACACCTGGCCACTTGTTTTTTATATTGTAACCACAGAAAGTCCATACATATGAAGACTGAAAATATACTTTCATGATTTAGATTTAGATTCCTACATATCCATTATTATATTCTTCACAAATGTACACTTTTATCTTAGGCTATCTGAAGGGCAAATAAATGTTACACTAAAATATAAACTGACAACCATAACCTCTAATTCAAGAGTATTTTCTATGATTGCAGAGAAAATTTAAATAGTGCCATACATGTTCAATATCATCAACTCTATTAGCCAAACTGATCACAGAAGGTACCTGCTCTGATGACATTGATAAATCAGTTTGTTATAAAGGTATTAAAAGAAACTAAACTTACTTATTACCTGATTTGTTCCCTACAGTAGCCCTCAAATGAAAGTCTCAAGAAATTTCCTAAATAGAAATAACCTTCAGGGTAGACATGAAGGGAACAAAAGAAGGTTCTTGGGGTCCTGAAAATGTTCCTTTCTAGTGGCCGGTTTGTGGGTGTGTTCCATTTGCAAGGAGTCAGTGAGCTGTAAATCTAAGATATATGTACATTTCCATTTGTTATGCCTCCAGGAATTTTTCAGAATCCTTCCTGGTCAAATGCTTTATATTAATTTCAATGTGTATTCTAAGAACTTGGGGAAACATCATGACAAGAATCCTTAAAATTACAGAACCAAAAAAAACCACACAACCAACAAATCAATATCGCCAAAAGATATCTAATGGGTCTTACTTGATTATCAGAAATTTGTTTGATAAGTGGATCCCTTCGGGCTTGTTGAAGAATATAGAGTCGAGCCTCATATTTTCTCATAAGTTCTTCAGTCTCTTCTCTGTGATCATCCCACTGCAGGCTGTCAATCACCATGTCCTCCAGCTGCTGCTGCCGCAACTCTACACCATGCTGAGTGCTATCCCACTGGTTCCTGACCTTCTCCACTACAGGAAACATTACAAAAAAGAATTCCTGAAAGTGACTCTCAGGAAAGGGGAAAAGTATCTGATACCAAATTTATTACAGATGAAGCTATCAATAGAAAAGAGAAAAGAGGCAAGTCGACACACATTTTAAAGAAATGTCAGTCTGTCATACTATACAATTGATATATTTCGGAAACCATTTTTGAGGAAAAATTCTTATATTAAACTCTATTAAATTTTATTTTTTTACTGTTCCAACTGCTGGCCTCACTTTTATTTCTTTTCTTTTTTTGATATATGAGCAGTTTTTTATATATTTTAATTTATCTTTATTGTTGAGAGTATTAAAGATGTCCCCCATTTTCCCCCCATGACCCCTCTCCACCAGACTCCTGCCCCATCCTAGGCCTCACCACACTATTGCCTGTGGCCATGGGTTATGCATATATTCATACAAGTTCTTTGGTTAATATATATTTTAAATGCACTAAAATACCTCACAATAAAAAAATATCTACTACTGTGAACTGATAAAGCAAAAAATTCTAAGAAAAATAATTTTCTATCTTGTTTTATATTTACAGGACCTGGTTTAGAAAGGTATTAATAGCACTTTGTGACAGAACTTTAAGACAGAGACATAGTCACTTGTCATCCTCAAAGGAGATGCTCTAAGGTAATCTTGATTTGAAAAGAAAACTCCTTAAGAATACTTTCACATTTGTTTCACTGTAGCATTAAACCTCTCTAAAAGGAAGTACTTTTCTATGTTGAAGTTCAAGAGAAACACTAAAAGTAAAGTAAATTCAAGTTCTGTGTACCCAGCAGCCCTTTATCATAAAAAAAACAACAACAACAAACAACAGCCCACAAATATTGGCTCTTGTCTGCTCTTTTTTATTGTTTCTTTCTCTTTCTCTTCCTTTCATTCTCAGTCTCTTTCTCTCCTTCCCTCCCTTCTTTCCTCTTCTCATTTTTAAGATGAAGTTAAGAAAGATCTAAGGAGCCCTGACCGGTTTGGCTCAGTGGATAGAGCATCAGCCTGCGGACTCAAGGGTCCCAGGTTCAATTCCGGTCAAGGGCATGTACCTTGGTTGCAGGCACATCCCCAGTGGGGAGTGTGCAGGAGGCAGCTGATCGATGTTTCTCTCTCATCGATGTTTCTCACTCTCTATCCCTCTCGCTTCCTCTCTGTAAATCAATAAAAATATATTTTGGGGAAAAAAAGAAAGATCTAAGGAAACAAACTTCTGATTAATGATTTCAAGGGCAGTTCATGATCTTAAACTGAAGTACCAGCAAGCAATAGCTTTCAATGCCTTCAACAACCCATTGATAATAGGTAGAAAGTTAAAAACAAACTTCTAGAAGTTATTTTGAATGTCAGACAGACTGAAGGGCTATAATTAAGTACCAGGCCAAGAAGAACTTAATTACAATATAACATTTCTTCTGGTAAAATTCTTGGGATAATACAGGCTATAATAAACCATTAAAGCTATCAATCCAATATTGTTCAGAAACCTGCAAATTACACTTACATGTATTAATTCTAAAAAATTGTGTCAATAAGATGATTTGTTTTATACTGTCTGAATAAAAGCTTAAATAAATTTCTTAAGATTGTAACTTAAGGAGAAGACAAATCTATCATAATGTTCTACTTGTCAGTTAAAGAATTACATATAATAGTTTTGACCAATTCTACTACAAACAGAATCCTGAAATATTGAACAAATAAAACTAAAGACATCAAGCGACTGCAAATATCACCAGTTTATCATAAAAATAAGCAAATGATCCTATTATTTGTGAATAAGAACAAAAAGCAGGTTACTTTTGGTAGTAGAAGCTGAGGATGGCTTCTCATATAATAAATAGTGATAAAGACTATGCAGTCTCTACATAAGAAAATGGAGAGAAAACAGAGAGAGAAAGAGTTGAATTGGAAAGGGAAGATATTTGGGAGAAGGAAAGAAACTTTGGATAAATACAGAGGTGGTGGGGAAAAGGAAAAAAAAATAAACATAAGATGGTGGAAAAGGCAAAATGGAGATGGATTTGCAAAGAGTTTGGTGTCATTAAACCAGAGGAGCTCCCCTGCCAGCGATGGGAAATGGGGTCCCTCCAGATCTTCATAGGCATAGCAATCCATCAATTCAGAAAAGGAAGGAAAAATGGCTGAATCAGTAAAAATAAAGCAACACTTTGAGACAGTAAAAGCTCTTTGCTAACTCATCTCTTGCAACAACCGTGCTGCCACACATTTATTTTGAAATCAAAGCGCCTTTTTTATAGGAGAAATAGTCGAATTTCTCCCCTCGAGAAATAGTAAACAAGGTGATAAAATACATTCCAGTTTATATTCTGTCACAAATTAAGTCCATCACTTGTATGGAGCACAGTGGGAGGCCCCAGAAACGTGACTATTCACAATCTGTGGAGGAGAGAAATTTCAGTAACTGTGAGATTCACAATGAAGTTATGGGGGCAAAGATCTAAAGATAGGAACTAAAGATAGAAAACACCAGGGACCAGAACAGGGTGGGAAAGACTTTATAGAGGGGGTGACATTTTATTAGCGGAGTAGAATTTCACCTGGGGAGAAAAGACTGAGGGAAAAAAATATGCGAATAAAGGTAAGGAGAATAACTGTCCAGAGGTTTTAAAGAACATATACAGTACAAAACAGCTACAGATGGGGCCAAGGGTTGTAGTGGAAGAGGGTGACAAAAGCAGACTATGACTGTCCCTAAAGTATGTTTTGATTTCAAAATAAATGTGGCAACAAGGTTTATTATAACAGGTGAGTTAGCAGAGCACTTTTAGTGTCTCACCAAGTGGGGTTATTTTTCCTGAATTCGCCATTTTACTTCTTTCTCCCTCCTTTTATTATTAGGTTGTTTTTGTCTTCCCATTCTTGAGAATTTACACTTGTTTGATATGACATACAGATGCTTTTAAGCCAGATATTAAATTTGAAACAAAAATCGTGGCTGTGGTTGTTTTGTTTGCTTATTTTTTTATTTTGCTTTTTTTGTCTTTAGCTAAGGTGTTCCAAAATTACTGCCAGCTACAGAGGTACAGAGTAGTGCTCAATAAAATATTTTTAGACTGAATTTTGAAAACATGAGTTAAAAGACATGCTAAGATTTAGTTTTAGTGAATGAATTACAATGAAAGAATGGGTTCGCATTCCTGTGGGTTTCTCTAATTTTTGTTTTCTTGGTTCCTCAAAGGAATATTAACTTAACAGCAAATAATCCAATGAATCAGTAACTACGTAAACATAATAATATTAATACTTTGAGGAATTCAAAAGGGAATTCTGACTGTTCACAAATGATAAAAAAAACACAAGGGAAAACTGTATTTATTAATAGATAAAGAGTATCAAATATCAAATAATATTAATTTCTCATTGAATAATCTTTGAAAAGGTGTATATGTGTGTAATCATTTTCAGTGAAAGTAGATGATGACATATAATTTTTTTGGACTTACATTTTTCTGTTATTGCTGTTCTCACATCTAAACTGGAAGCTTTATTTTTCAAATTTTGAGCCAGTGTAAAAACATAATCAAGCTGAGGATGGCGCTGTTCCAAGTCCGCCTTTGTGATCTGTTTAAAAAGAAATGATTTTTAAGATAGGCTAATAGTCTATTCGCCAAGAACACGAAGGAGCAAAACTGGTGTACTGACATCAAAGTTATTTGTCTCCTATACAGGACAGTGAGGCATCTGAGATGTGGCACAGTAAGTCCTAGGTTCAAATCTCAGCTCTGCCATTTACCATCTAGGTAACCAGGCACTTCATCTCTCTGTTTTTGTTTTCACAAAAAGAAATAAAATACTGACAGCTCAGCTATATCAGGTCTGAGGAGATTAAATGTAAGAAGTCCCTTTAAAAACTAAAAACTGTTCTGAAAACATTAGCAGTGATTTCTGCAGATGATACCTTGCATATCAGGCCTACATCAGGTATGAACACAAACTAATGTCACCTACAGGGATGTCAGTGAGGTATTAGAAAAATGCTATTTGGAGTAATTGTAAATTAAATAATTTTAGAAACAAAAAACTGTTGCTCTACAGTTATCTCTTAGTACTGATAACGATGGGAGAAAAGTTAATGTAAGAAAATGGTGTGTTTTAAATATAGAACTAATAGCCATAAAGACTATTTCCAATAGGTACAAATGGTATGGCAAAGATTCTCTCCCAGCTCTTCTTCTTAGGAATTCGCTAATTTTGCAGACTCCAATTACTCCTACAGTGTCAAATGTTATTCCTAAATGGATTATTCACAACTTCCAATCCTGAGTCCAGAGAGACATTTCAATGAATGCTGATCATTTCTTTCTAAATGGCCTAAGAACCTCTCAATACAACATACTCAAAACTGAATCAATCAAACCCTCATCTACATTTCACTTCTGCTATTCTGAATCTCTGCTAATTGCGACAGCATGGTCTTAGCAGCCCAGAAAGGCTCTTTTTTTTTTTTTTTTTTTTGTATTAAACATCTCTTGCACTATTCCCATTCTTCCTGCTAAAATAGATCATTGTTATCATCAGTCTCCAGCCACAATTTTAAAAAAGAAAAGGAATAAAAACACGTGCCCATTGCTTACAGATGAAAAGGGTTCTGCGTGGCCTGCAAGCTCCGTCAGAGTGAACTCGAGCTGCCCTTGCTATCTCACTTCCCACTGCATTTCTTCGCTGCACAAATGTTGACCCCATGTCCCTCACCCTCCATGCTCCCCCGCCTCATGTCTTTGTTCCCTCTGCTCCCCAGACCAGAAATGCCATTTACTTGTCTCTAGATGAGAAAATCCCACATGGTCTGACTTCCGTCACTGTGGAGTAACTCTCTTCTTCACCCGGGCTCCCCTATCAGGTCACATGTACCTGCCTGTGCCTGTTATTACACGCTGCTCTGCATAGAGACTGTTCACTTGTACACATTCAGTGCCTCCATCAGAGTCAGGGCATATTTGTAATCTGGGATAAATTTGGTAACTATTTCAATAGATAGTTAAGGAAGTAAACATGTAAATTACTTACAAAAGTGTCCAACACACATTAAGTACTTAATAACAGTTAGCAATCACTGTTATTTAATGGTTCATTCCCAATTTGTATTTAGTATATTCTTTTCCGTATCTCTATACAGCACACAAGCCCAGAACCTAGCACACACTGAATATGGAAAAAGAACTTTACAAATTGGCGTGACATGGTATGTTTGTGTATATATATAAAATTATGGTCAGGCATTCTCACTGCTAATGTCAGCAATTAAACAAATAAAGCATAAGTTGAAAAGGCACTTCAGGAAATTATACTACATCACACTAGACATTAACTGTAACGCTAGTTTATATTTGTACTGATGGGACTAGATTTACAATCTCCGTTTCAGATGTTAAAATATACACTGAGTCTACAACTCAAGTTGGTAAAGGTGATCTTACCAAAACAGCATAAATGCAAGAAAATCTAGACTCTTCAGAGGTAGCCTGGGATGGCTGTTTGGCAGATAAAGAAGTTTTTAAAGCTCACTCTCCCAGAGTTCAGGACAAACAAAAGGGAGCCAAACAGATTGTGTCTACCCGTGTGGTGAGGTGTTGCCATGACAAGCCTGTACCCTGTGCACCTACTTTCATTCTGGAAACCGTCTTATTGATCTCTTCCACATCCCCGACAGTGACAATGTTGGACTTCAGCATCTGGTCGATCAATACCAGCCAGTCGGCTAGTTCTGTTATCGTTTTATCCAGATCAGCAGGGAGTGAAATTTCTGAAGTACGAGGAGACTGAGCAGAAGGTTCTGATGCAGAGGATACTAGCACCACCTTTAGGGCACCAGGATGAGCTGAAATAAAAAATGTAGCAAAGTACTACCGAATCAATAGGATGTTCTGACTGTGGTGGGGCAATGGTGACAAGCATCTGTGTGCTTATGTAAAATTTAGATTAGGTTTAAAAATGGTGAGAGTTTCTATTTCTTTATATGGAAGTGGCCATGGTATTTCCGGCAGTATCTATGTCTTGGTGGTGGTAAAGCCAATTAAACACCCAGTTACACAATATTCTAGGGCAGCAATAACTCAGAAGTAACTAACACTGACACCAAGAGAAGATAAAGTGAAAAATACACCAACTGTGAGAAAATTAGCACTGATATTTTATTTTGTCAAGAGGTTTGCCTTAATTATAGAGCCAATTTATTCATAGTTTTCTGTTGTTCAGAGGGCTTGCAAGGCACTTAACTTTACAACATGAGCATTAGCAATTCTTCATCCACATCATTGTGAATAGCTAAGAATATAAATGTATTCACTACCAGTTACTTAACTCTACAGCTGGATATTTAGATGGCTCCTTACATTTCACTTTAAAAAAGAACTCGCAAGGAATTTCTTTTTTGTGTAGAGTATTTTGCGTATTTCTGATGAACACTTTGGTATTGATTTGCTAAAGTAGAATGACTGGATCAGAAAATATGAAAAAATTAATGTATTTAATATTCATTAGCAAATTTGTCCTTAAAAGTTGAAAACTGAGACTTGCAACAGCGACGTGTGGACTCCGCATGAAGGATCCACACCAGCGATACTGTTTCAATGGATGAACAGACAGTGTGCTCACTTACTGGTTTTTTATTATCAGTGAGAGCAAACATTTTTTGTTTGTTAACCAAATATAGTATAATTTATAACTGTGGTCTTTATCTGCTTCCTTTTCAATTTGCAAGAACTCATTTTTATAGGAAAGATGAATCTTGCCATATTGCTGAAAACACTGTTTCTACTTTAGGATTTTTAATGTGTGTTTTCTTTTTAACATATAGATGTTATCAAATTTGGGTGATCAGATCCATAAATCTATCCTGGGAGATTGTTTTCCAGAACTTTCAGTTAGAGATTCTTGTCTTCTTCAAAACTTGGATACATATTTTTCTCTCTTGGTTGTTTGTGTTTGTCTTTTGTTTTTAATGATGGAAGGTTGGTTGTTTTTCTTTAGTTTTATACAAGGTAGCTGAATTATTAGACCCATCTGGAGCCCACTTTAGCATACGGTATATTAGATAAGGCTTAAATAATCTTCTAAAACATATAGTCAATCCATAAATTCAGCACAATTTAAATTAAAAGCCCCAACATGTTTGCATATATCTTGACAAAATCATATATTGAAATTTCCTATTCTAAAATTAATACAGTAAAGGGTCAAGAACAGTCAAGAGAGAGAGCAGGGCACGGTGTAATAGCTATGGTGCCATAACCTGCACTCTGATCGGGGCAAGGAGAGAAGGAAATAGTGAGAAAACTTTTTCCTCCACACCTAAGTGATCATCAGCATCTATCAGTAAATAGCCTCCCTGGGATGGAGAACTCTTCTAAAACCCCATCTCCCGCCTGGTTCCAGGATACCTAATCCTTTGTTCTCAGTCATGATCTGCATGCAGTTACACCCCACCCAGGGCATGTTGCATAATGGCTATAGCTGACTTTCTGAAAAACCGCATGTCCTCAGTTTCCCCACCTTGTCTCTTCCCTTCCCTTCCCAGGCTCTCTTGGGGACCAGGTCCCACTCTGGTCCCAGGAAAGGCAAAAATTTTATCTCTCATGCGTGCCTTGCAGTCAAGTATGTGTTGGGTTTAAAGAAGATGTTCCTTTCAAATAACTGAAAATAGAATAACAAATCACAACTGCGTTGTGTTTTCCAGTTTAAAGTTTTCTCTAATTCATATATGATGCTCACAGTCATAATATTTTGCTATTTTTATAAAAAATGGTTAAGGAATAAACTGTATCTTACCAGCAGTTCTTGACTGAGAAACAGAACAGGGCTCCGGGACGCATTCCTTCAGTGCACTCGGCACGTCTCTGCATACCTATAGCATCCGGCCAAATGGAAAGAGAAGAGTACCATATAAATAAAGATGATTATCTTTCCCAAAAAGAAAGTGTCATTCTACATGATAGCTTTGCTATCCACTGCAGCCTTGCTTAAGCCCCTACTCCACCAACATTACTATCAAGAATGCCATCCAGCCCAGCCATTGTGGCTCAGTGGTTGAGCATCCACCTATGAACCAGATCATGGTTCCGTTCCCAGTCAGGGCACATGCCCTGGTCTCAGGCTCAATCCCCAGTAGGGGGCGTGCAGGAGTCAGCCGATCAATGATTCTCTCTCACCATTGATGCTTCTATCTCTCTCTCCCTCTCCCTTCCTCTCTGAAATCAATAAAAATATATACTTTTTAAAAAAGAATGCCATCCAGTCCTTAGCTGCCCTGGCCCTTTGAAACATTTAATGCTGTCACTTCCCCTCCTTGAACTCTGAATAGTCTGTACTCCTGACTTTCCTCCCACTTCTCTCTGACCTTCTAAGTGTCCTTCACCAGCTCATTCTCCTCTGCCCATCCATCAAATGCTAACATTCTAAAGGGTAGGTTTTTTAGTCTTTCTATCATTGACTCAGGCTTCTCTCCCTGGGTCTTGGTTTCTAATGGTTACATCTACCATAAAGAGTTAAAGATGCCAAGGACTCCCAAAATATATCTTCAGTCTGGCTCCCTCCGGCAACTGGATATTCAGACATGTCCAAATCTGAAGTCATCATGTGTCTCCCTGAAGCCCCCTTGACAAAGCTAATGACTAATTGATCTTTCCAGATCAGTTATCCTGATCTGATCGTAGGTTTTGCTAAGAGGAGTTACTTGACTTCCTGATATCCTAAGGACATCCATCCTAGGATCACTTCATCTCTATAGTTCAGCTATAGTGAGCTTTCAAAAGGTAACGTTCTCCTGCTTAACCACCTTCAATCGCTGCCCACTGCTCTCAAAGTGATGAACTGTTCTCAAGACACAGTTTAAATTCTTTGTGATGCATGGTGCGGCCTCCAGGATCTGATGTTTGCAAGCATCACTCATTCTTCACTTCATACTGAGCGACTTCCAGGACCCAAGTGCATTGTGCTCATTCCCTGTCTCTTCTAGACCATTTCACTTGCTGCTGTTCTCTCTGCAATGCCCTTTCCCCCCTTATTCATCTGTCCAATTCTTATTCATCCTTTACAAATTAGCTTGGAAATTATCTCCTCCAAAAAACCATCCACAGTTACCCCCTAAGGCCAGGTCATATGCCCTACTTTTATATCCCTATGGATCCCTCTTTGTTATAATTGCTTAGCAACTTGTCTCCCCACAATAAACTCTTTGGATTAGAAGGAGTGACATACTCTTTGCTGTATTAAAATGGTGACTGGCATAAAGTGAGAGTCCAGTTAAAACCTATTCAGTGAGTGAATGACTGCATGAATGAATGAAATATCCCAGAATAGTAGTTCCCAAAGTGTGTTTGCTGGAATTCTCTGCACAGTCAGCACTGCTTGTTCTTGGACATTCATAATTCACCTACATACAGTAAAATCGGTGAAGTTCTAGGATAAAGTTACTTAGAAAGGTGCCACAGTAATTTTTAATGCACACCTTATTCCAGGTTGAATTTACAGTTCTTAAGCTTTCTGAAATCTTTTCTCTTTCATGTAAACTCAGACTTTTATCTGAAAGCATTTCCAATTCAGTTCTATTCAGCCATTTGAGTTTCTCAGCTTGTACGTCCATCTCCTGGTTTAAGTCCTAAAGGTGTCAGAAGAGAGGTATGATTAGAAGGTTGTCATACTAGAGAAAGTTCAAGAACTGTATTAGAAACTAACATACTTTGGGTATTTTACAGATGTGAATTTTTAATTTCTTAAGTAGACAATAAACTTTTAAGAAGCTTGAACATGTTAACAAATTGTAATTGGTATGGGAATGACCACCCACCTGCAATGTGTACTTGGGTGCTCCCACCGCCACCCTGTCTTATAATAGAGCCATATCCTCTCATATCTACACTGATAACTTAACATTCTGTTCTTAGATGATGAAAATGATGTCTGTTCCAATGAAAGGCCAAAACAAAATAAAAAGCCAGCAGGAGCCTTGTATGCACCTCTCTCTACCTCATCTCTATCGACCCTATTGTACTGTCCCACCCTTTGCGATGGCCCCCAAATTGTTTACAGAAAGGATGTTCCAAGAAAATGAATGAAATTTGTAGTTAAAACAGGAACAAGTTTGTTAGCTATTTGATGTCACATTTTGAAAAGTAAACTTAATAATTGTTTCCAACATATTTTTTTGTTGTTACTAATGGTTTCCCAAAATGCCTTATCTTACTCCTTTAAACAAAATCTCTTCAAATTAGTGGGCATCCTTTTAGGCATACTTTGATGCATGCCTGTGTGTTCATCCACATACACACCCAATTTCTTCTTTTTTAAAATAAAAATATGAACACAGTATGCTTATGTTCTACAATAAGTCAATTCTTAACACAAAAAAATATAAAATTTATGGCTATTTGAGTATACTTATTTATATATCTTTATGTATTTTATATGTATTATAAATAAACAACTATAAACAATCCTTGTAGGTTGTAGATAAACAGAAAAAAATTTTATTAATACAACCATGACATTGAGTCTAGAGTAACCCGCCATGAGTTACTCAAGTCACTTAGAGTTTTGTTTCTACAAAACTCAACTTTATAGCTAGTAATTAGCAATTATCTTCTAAATCTGAAAGCAAAAACTTTACTTCAAAGCAATAATTTATTCTACAATGATAATGTCTATTTAAGATATCCTAAAAACCTTAGGTCTAATACTGAGACCACAGGACTTATCATTTTTATGAGGGACGCCTTACCTCTGCAAGAACAAAATACAACTGCTCTTTAGAAGAAAAGACAAAGATAGTCCTCTTTAAAGTTCACCACCTATACCACAAAGTACAAAGTTTCTTACTCCTTTCTTCTTCTAATATTTTATTTTATTTTTAGTGTAATTGTTCATGCATCAAAAAAGTATTGGCAAATGTAGAGACAAGCCACTTACTGTTAATTCTTTCCGGTTTTCTTCCAGCTCAGTGGTGGATCTCTTTTGCACAGCATTCTCGGCTTTTGTTAACCAACAGATAATCTCGTCTAGTCTCTTTCTATATTCCATCACTTGCTTGCTTTCTCCTTTTAGCCTAAAAGAATATATTATTGAAAAATATTGAGAAAAAATATCCAATTAAGCAGAACATCACACATTTACTTTGCATATCTGCACTAAATAAACCGCAAATGAAATAACTCCTGATAATTATTTTAATACATGTTTTAATGTGTCAATAATAATGTATATATTATGCAATACCAAAGATTATTTAACAATGTAAGAAGAATTCTTCCTTCATTAAATTCAAAAACATTGAAATTAAAGACTGTTATTTTCTCTCATCGTGAAAATTATATTGAAATTTTTTAAGCTAGATACCACTGTTCAACATAATGGACTTTTTAAAAACCATGAAAAGTGTCTTGATCTAAAATTATAAGAAAAAGCACATAATTACTCCATAGAGACAGAAAGACTTCATTATATGACATATTATTCACATTAGGTGGCAACTATTATCCCACTTTATTCACAGGAAAGAAAAAATAGATACTGAGAATGGAATTGTTTTACAAGTATTAGAAAATGGAAATTTAGTTGGTTCATTAAAATAAAACTGATATTTAAATATAGCCAAGTCATAAAAAGAGATCTAGAAAATAAAGAAAAGTTTTAAAGGACATAAGGACACAAATAGGCATTATGAATATAAAAAAAGGAACTGCCTTAATTAGATCATTTAAATATAAGAATAACATTTATAAGTATATAAACCATGTGTCAGAAAATGAGAATAAGATTAGAACCCATATGACAAACAAGATTATTTATTTTTAAGAACGGGTTTGAAAGCTATTTAGAGCTTGAGGGTGGTACCATTATTTTTATAGCTGATGATTTAAAAATAGAATGCAATTTTTTAATAAATTATATTGTATCATTTATATTTTTATGGCTATAATTTTGTCTTTTCAACCACAAAAAAAATAATGCTATATATATATATATATTAAAATGCTAAATAAATACTTATATATTTAGTAGAGAATCAGTAATATTTGAAAGAGGATATTTTAATAATTAAAAACTAATGAAAATCACAAGCTTTCAAATTTAAATATCCATTAGGAGAGAATACTGCTTCAAAATTAAAAACAAAAAAATCAAGCAACAGTACTAATTGTAGACTAAAAATACCAAAACAGGTCATTTACCCTCTGTATCAAAGAGTATTTCACTAAAATAACAACTTTAGAAATACCTAAAATACTATTATAGACTTGTATTTCAAAAAAATAAGCTGGCATTTAAATGTTTCATGTTTCATAATCATGACTAATTTAGTATTTTGAAAATATATCTATGAAGGAAAATAGCAAGTTATTTCAATACTGCATATTTGAGTCACAAAATTTTCATCTGCAAACTAGCTAAATATAATCTACATTTTAAATGTTATCCCTATGAATAAAAACAAGCTTTAAATTCATGTTCAAACAGTAGACAACAATTGCTCATTAAGGAATAACACTGTGAGCTGCTGACCTGTGCAATTATTTAACTACCAGCATTCAATACAAAACAGACTGAAGTGTGTGCTTTCTTGATGACTATGATAACAGTACACATCTAAGCTCTTAAAGTGCCAACATGGCTCTAATCCTATATAATAAAGAGATAATATGCAAATTGACCATCACGCCCTTGCACAAGATGGCCACCCCTATGTGGTCACAAGATGGCTGCACCCATGTCATCACAAGATGGCCACCACAAGATGGCCAGCAGGGGAGGGCAGTTGGGGGGGACCAGGCCTGCAGGGGAGGGTAGTTAGGGGCGCCCAGGCCAGCAGGGGAGGGCAGTTGGGGGCGATCGGGCTGGCAGGGGAGCAGTTAGGCGTCAATCAGGCTGGCAGGGGAGTGGTTAGGGGGTGATCAGGCTGGCAGGCAAAAGTAGTTAGGGGCAATCAGGCAGCAGGCAGGCAAGCGGTTGGGAGCCAGCGGTCCCAGATTGTGAGAGGGATGTCCGACTGC